AGGATATCAAAATTTAAGAGTAAATAAACGAAATGAGTCTTTTAGTAAAGTTAGGTATGTCTCGTGAAAACAGCAATACTCTGAGGGATTGTGAGGCTGAGACATTGCCTACATATAATCCTCTCAGTACTGTTTTCGCCGAAGGGATTTTATTTAGTTTTTCGTTGTCGCTCTATTAGAAATTATGGTATATTTCGTTGGGGCTAATCCGAGAAACTGATAAAATCCTATCATGAGAAGATTTTTATATATAACTCTTTATGTCCATTGTTATTGCATTAACCATTAACTTGCCAGTTATCAAGAATTACCGACTTGGCCTTCATCAGACTGGCACATCTTGTTGGCTGAACGGAGGATAAACTAAGCAACGCTAATAGTCCTTAGAAACCTATGTTCAGTTTAGCCATCTCGCTACCGAAGTATTCAGATATGGATTTGGAAGGTAAATATAGTTCTATTAATATAACTAATACAAACCTTATATTTGGTATTTTACTGAGGCCTTTTAATGGCCTTGTCCAAATATCTGATATGTAAATTGGAAAATGTATTTAATTAATAAAAACCGTTAAAACCCATTTAAGGAAAACCTAAGTTTACGTCTTTTAAGAGTACGTTTTACGTATTTTTAAGAGTACGTTTATATTCCAAAATACTAATGTGGAGGAATAATTTTTCCGTAATATTAAATAAGAAATGTGCAGCTACTATGATCACACTCAGCATGCTCAAGTCAAGCAAGATAGTAAACAAACCCACTACAATCACTTCAATTCAATGAACAACAATGGAGGTTGACAATACGGGAAGATGAACATCTGAACAGTGCAGAACTCTGTTGCCTATCTGCGTGTAAGGTACATTCTGTTGAAAGACCTACAAAAATTAGGAATAGGTCAAGTATTGTATTGGAATACTAAGAAGGCACGCAGTATGTACGATGAGCTCGGTATAACACGTGGATCAAAGCTATACATGGTAGAGAGTATAAGCAGAGTACTCTTAGATCCCACGAAACGACAAACATATGATGCTATAATATCAGCTATAAGAGAGGAATAATATAAGACTACACACTGTACACATACATATAACATAATAAAAATTTTCGATGTATTTTATGCATGCGTATGAATATA